GAGATTTAGACAACGATCGGTCGACACCCGTCTCTCTCAAAGGTTTAAAGCATATTAAAACAGATATGGCCCATTGTTAGTATGACTGGTCGATTGTAACAACGAAGACTTTTCCTTGGCTAATAATGAGAGGAGACTCTTAACCGTGATGAGCCCAACTGGCCTCGTAGTGTTGACTTACAAGCAATTAATCAAAGCCATTTAACAACTCTTACGAACTTGACGAATTGAACAAATTAAAACTAATTACTGGTTAACATGTTGTGTGTACAAGAATAATTAAGCAGGCCGTCAGTCCCTTTCAAAGGTTTTCAAAAGGCTGGAGAGCCGTGATATTAATAATTGTATAGGTTATGAGGTTTTTTTTTTAAAAAAATATTTTTGAAAAGATATAATTTTTTTTATTTTTTTTAAAAAAAAAATATTTTTGAAAAGATATAAATTTTTTTATTTTAAATTTTTTTAATATATTGATATTAAAATAAATTTGAAGAGTTAATATATTGATATTAAAATAAATTTAAAGAGATAAAATAAAAAATATTATTTTAATATATTTTCAAATAAAAAATATTTTAAAAAATAATTACTCAAAACGTACGAAACTTATTAGAAACTACTGTAGGGTATAGGATCCCGAATATATCTTGATAGGACCTCAAATATGTGTGTGTGTGTTTGTGTGTAGTGATTGAATTAGTTATATATGGATAAAAAGTTAGCGTAATTAATTATTAATTTACTCACCTTCCAATTATAATTAATACACGTCTTTTTTTCAGTGAGATGTGATGGTAATGCAACCCATGGAAATTAAAGTTTAAATTGACACGCAATTATGCACCTACATTATTAATTACTTCGAGTAAACGAAGGGCATAACATCAAAGCACATGAATTTAAATCCCTTTTATTAATTAATTTAAACTTCAGAGCTTGTTGATAACTTTGCAATTTGCTGGCATTTCTCTCAATCATTAAATATATTAAGAGTTATCCTCGGTTTGTTTAACATAAATTCTAGATCTGTTATAAAAACTATCAATAGAGAGAGGGAGAGAGAGAATAAAATATATTGAAAAAGGTGAATTCGCGGTATTCAAGCAGCGCACAGTAGCTTGTGCTTCTATTTCTTGGTCTACTCAAGTGTTGGCCGGAGATCTCATGTGCTAAGTGCGGTTGAATGTACTTTTAGATCATGAAAAGGAAAGATCAACTTACATCATAGGAGGATTGATCCTGTGGAGGCTCAAAGTTGTAGAACACACCACAACAACCTCTTAATGCATCAATTATGCTCTTGTAGTCAAAAGGATCTGCATACAGAATCTTCAGCTTCTTCTTATCACAAGATAGGCCGCCGAATTGCAACTCACCTGATTCAAATCATCCAAGACAGTTATGAATTAGCCCATGCATGCAAAAACAACGACAGAAAGAAAGACGTCCGACCAAGTACGTTGTAAAAGATCAATAAATAAATAAAAAGAAGAGAGATTGAGCATTACAGTCATGGTTTTGAACCGCAGCATGAACAGTGTAGCCTCTTTGGAGGAGCCTTTCAACCAAGCTAAAGCCAAGGCTGCCTGAAGCGTCCATCACACATACTGTGTCTGTGATGTGATGGAAAGAAGCCGGTGCCATTTGAGAGGGAAGAGAGGAGACACTTTTTTATTTAACTCGAAGAGTTGTGTGTTTTGTATGATAGGGAGAGTGGCTTAGATAGGCGACGAGGGGGGTGTGTATATATTGAATAAGGGAGGAGAAAACGACAACAAGTTTCAGGGAATTGGGGGTTTTTTTCCCCTGAAATTTTTGGGTAGAGGGAGTTGGACTGGTGCGTGCGTGTGTGCGTGTAAAGATGAGTTTTTTACTTTGTAAAAGAGGCATAAATATCCAAAATCTAATGGAATATTGGAAACTAATTAGAAAATGCATAATAATATCACATACAGGAATATTTGTTTATTGTTATGATGTATCCTAGTGTAGTGTTATTTTTTTATACTGAGATTAATATTTATTTAATTTAAAAATAAATAAATATGATCGTTATTATGTAATTATGAAAACGGTAGTATTTATTTATTTATTTATTAAATTTAGGATTTAAAATAACTTTTAATAAAACTATCTCTACTATTTTTTAAAAAACAAGTTGCCGATGATACTATAAACCAGGCAACTTTAGGCTTGCACATAGCAGTAACTCTTTATTTTGCTAATTTGAAAAGGAAAAAGAAAATGTGGCTAGCATTCAAAGAGCGTGGCTGTAGGTGGTTGTGGTAGGGAAAAAATGTGGCCAGCATTCAAAGAGCGGTGTGTGTAGCCACTTACAGTCCTGATAATTAATCACAGGAGGCGCTGGAGTCAAGCTATTCATCACAGGAAGAAACTCTAGAAGACGGTTGGGAGAATTGATGACATGGAGCATGAAGGATTTGGGTAAATGATGGTCACCGGTGGGAGCAGAGCAAGCATTTTTCTACACGGAGAAATTATAGGTTGGCAAACAGACTGATATCATTCATTTCTCTCAGTGTCCAAGATCGTATAATATAGAGGTCGGCAGAGGCAAATCTTTAAATTAATTCTTGTTCTGAATCTATCTGCATTTCCGTGTGTTATAAAGGGTTTGACTGCGAACTTTTGTCGACGTCCTTGATTCCAGACAGGTAATAATTAAAGTCGAGTGGAGCGATGGTCTTCGAATTTTAGAATTGAACAGGCTGCAGGGCAGATCATTTTTATTAACCCAGATCATTTTTTTTACCCCCCCCCCTCTCTCTCTCTCTCTCTATATATATATATATAGATGCCGCAATTGTCTCCTTTTTTTTTAAGTCAAAGCGAATCCAAGTATTTTTTAGGGTTGAAATTAAAAGGATGATAAATTAAAAAAAATAAAAAATAATTAATGAACCAACTTTTATAATCTGATTATATAAATGAGATACTCAAGTAAAAGGTAAACCAAAAAATAAAAAAAAATAGAAAAAATCATGAAATCCAATTCCAAAAAAACCCCAACCTTGAAGGATGTAATAAAAAAAATAATTCTTAAATAATACAATATTTAAGAATAAAATAAAAAAATTAACTTAAAAAAATTTATCAAAGTAAATCTAACAAAAAACAACAAATAAAAAAACCTAATACAACTATGGTCATTTCACAAATTCACAAGAAATCATATAAAAGGCATGTAAAAAAAACAGAGTCTAATTGATAATTATAACAAAGTTTAATGATAAAATTAAAAAAAATCATCTTAAAAAAACAAATCAAGTAAACTTAAGTGAAACTTCGAATTTTGGACAAAGATCTCAAACTCGTAACCTATTAATTCTTAAACCTGAGTCAAATCGATAAACTCAATTTTCAACCAAGTTAATATTCATTAACCAAAGTAAACTCAATAAAAAACAACATATAAAAAAATTTAAAAAACTCAATTTATTTTTAAAATTATTGAAAAACTCTACATAAAAAAGATAAATAAAAATGGATCCCACTATTCAGTTGAATAACTGTAGAACAAAAAATCATAAAAAACATGACCTTAAAAAAAAGAAAAAAAACAAGTAAACTAGGATAAAATCTCCCAAACCTCAGTTAATTTCTAATCTCCCAAACCTCAGTTAATTTCTAAAACATATAGCTTGTAAAATCCTAAACTTGAACTTAGTTGAGGAACTTAATTTGTAATAAATTTAATATCAAATGATGAAATCAAAATTTTCAAAATAAAAAAAAATTGTAGTGAAAAGAACATGATCAAATTTGATAGGAATTTTTTTTTTAGGGGGGTAAAAATATAAAAAATTTTAAAAATTTATCTCAAATAAAAAAATAAGGACTAAATTAAAAAAAATTGAATAATTAAAGGGGGTGAAGTAGAAAACTAATTATAATCTTATACATTGTTTTTTAAAAGAAAAAGGCATTTCAAATATTAAAAAAGTACTTGAAAATAAAATCAAATTAAAAAATTAACCAAAAATTAATTTTTTAGATTCAATTGATTTTTATTTTTTATAATAATTTTAGGGTGTTTAAAGGTTGTTTGGTAGTTTATATAGATTATTATGCTCTGTTTGAGGTATTTTTAAGCGAAGATTGATTTTTAAAGCAAAAATCCACCTTTTAATTTTTTAACCATGATAGTAATAACTGAATTATAGACAACAATTCAGCAAGCAACAGGTCAGCTGCCACATCAGGCTACCTGACTCCTATTTAATAAAAAAAGAGATGGAAAAGCTAGAATAAGGAAAAACAATGCTAGCAAAATAACAGCACAACACGTGGATAGTACGCATTTGGGTCACTTTGTGACATGGCTGACTCTTTTCTTAAGATGGGAGATCGAGAACTAAATAAATGGGCTTTTTTATGTTGTTATCGTTTCTTTGTTTCTTCCTTTCAATTTTCCTTTCAATCTTTGTTTCATCACGCAGCACAACACGTGGATAGTACGCATTTGGTTCACTTTGTGACATGGCTGACTTTTTTTTTAAGATGGGAGATTGAGAACTAAATAGATGAGCTTTTTTATGTTGTTATCGTTTCTTTATCTCTTCCTTTCAATCTTTGTATCATCACAAGTCTCTTTCTTTATTATTAATATTATTATGTTTTATGTTAGTGAAAAAAAGAAGAAGAGAAGTTCATGTTTTTTCTGATTCAAAAATGAGAATGGGATTTATTATATTGAATACTTAAAACTAGATTTGGATGATCGAATATTATATTTAAAAACCATAGAAAAATTATATTCTTATTACTCAAAAGTGTTTTCCAGATAAGAGAGTTTTGCAACATTTTAATTTAATTTTGATTTTGAACTTTTTTTTTATTATTATATTTTTTTAAAAGTAAAAACTTATTTAGAAAACGCCCTTTTTAATAATTTAACAATAGAAAAAGAAACGTAATCGTGGGCCGAGATGGGCCCAATTTAAATTCAATGCAAACAGATTCAAGTAATTCCTTTCAAATAAAATTAAACACAGAAAACATTAAAAAACTAAACAAAAAATATCGTGATCAGAGAGCCCAATCCTGGAAATGAGCGAGCCGCGAAACCCACCGTCGGGACTAAGAGTCTCCATGACCGAACCTATCCGCTCCTTTCTCCTCTCAGCTTCGAAAGACGGAGATGTGCCTCGAGAACTGCAGGATCTCGCTCTCAATCTCTCCTCTCAAAATAACCTGCACTACAAGTCCTTCCGAAGTATATGGATCCGATCCCCACCCTCAACCCGACCACCCGACTTGATCCGCCTCTTCTCCGGTTCCAATTTCATCTTATCCAGCCCCAAGCCCAGAGAAAAGGTTATAATAATTAAAGAAAAGCAATCTATTTCTCTATTCACTCGTTTGTTTTGACTTCTTCTTTTTTTTTTTTAATTTGGTTATTGTTGTTGTTGTTACTATAGAGTGAAGAGCTCAAGGCGAGATTGAGGAAACTTGAAGAAATGGCGGAGAGGAATGCGTATGCAGAGCTAGTTAAGGATATTACGCCGCGGAAGAATACCGATGAGCCCTTCTCTTCTTATAAGGATCAGATTGGCTTTGGTCAGTTTTTCATTCATTTGCACCTGCTTCTTATTGTTTTTTTATAGGATTCGAATTTTTAGTTACATTTTAATCCAACTCTTAATGAATTGGTCATACGTGGTCAGTCACTTGCTGTTGAATTTGTGGAGTTAGTGGTGTTTTATTTTGGAGAAAGCGGGGAGGGATTTGCAAATTTTAATTTTTATGGAATCACAGTCTTGCTACACGCATGCCTGCTGCCTTCAATTGTATGATAAACAATTGTTAAGGTAATTAAGAATGACGGTTGAGAATGTATCCCCGCTATTAGTGAATCTATTTTTCATGCTTTTACTTCCCTCCCTCGGAAAAAAAGAGTTGCATTAGTCAGAAACGGGAAATCTTTGAATTGTAGAATCTTTCTGATTGAGGGAGTATCATTCCCAATATTTAGTCAGCGAACAAATGCTTAATTTTTACATGGATGATAGTACGGGGTGTGACAAGGTAGGAAAGTGTCAAGTTACATTAACATCTTCAATTAACATGTCTGGTTCCCCACTTTTATTCCCTGCAATTCTTTTAGCACATTTTCCTAGTTGAAGTTTTACTTTGGTGATTGTTGTTGCAATACGTCAAAACTATTGACTCCGTGGGATTGTTGTCCCAGGCTTTAATATTGCATCCCTTTAGTTATTCACCCGTGGATGAACACAATCTAACACATTCGTTGTGTGCGCTTCACAACTTGAGTGACTAGTGACTGATTTTTGCTGATTCTCTGTAGCTATATGAAGTTCCTTGTTATTTTGTTATCCCCGACAAGAGCCCCTTTAAAAAGTTCATTGCCCCTGATAATTTGCATTTTTAATGCATCTCCTAGCTTGTGATTGTAGCGACTCTCTAGAGGTGTTTAATTTCCTCTAAATAAAGAGACAACTTTCCTCCTTTTCAAATCTTCACATTTTTCTATTTTGGTTAGCCTGAAGCTTTTGTCAATCATAACTTTCTGCAGGTATGCATGTTGTTCTTATCATGTTTACTGGCTATCTGGTTGGATTTGCAGCGTTTAGAGCTTTGTTTGGCCACAGTCCTGCCATGGTAACATCAGATGCTATTTTCCCTCCATTTAAAGTTGTTTTTACTACTCAAAGCATTTCAAATTATCTGCTATCTTAAGAAATGCCACCCCAGAGTTTAAAAAAAATCATCTGCAATCTTGTTGGTTGGTTGTCTTTTATCACATGCTTACATGTGCATTTACACTTGCGTGTGCACATTCACACACACGCACGCCCTCTCACACATATATATATATATTGGTCCAACCATTCTTTTCTATTTCTCTATATTGATGTTAATGGCACACTTTTCTAACATTCCAGAGTGCTGCTGGAGGCATTCTTGGATTGGTTTTTGGAATGCTTGTAGAAACTCTTCTTTTCATAATTCGAACTTCCAACCCCGATTCTAGATCATCAACTTCTAACACTTCTAAGCTAAAGAAGAATCAATAGAATTGGCACAGACAGGTCAGCTCTTTTAAATCTTTGGTGTTACATCCTGATTTGTTGAAATATGTTATTTTCTGAATATGCAAATTAAGAGGCTATATAGCTCTATATGTGCAGATGCATCAGTAGGCTTGAATATAATTTTTCTTTTCAACGACCAGTTTGCGTTTGACAAGTCTGGATTTTGATGAAGAAGCATGAAGAAGAGATACAAGTGCCTTAATACCTGCACGAATGTTGTTACCATGACCGTTGACATCGAAACTGTTAGTTCAATGTACCTCTTCTCTATTAGAAATAATAATGTGTGTTGTTTGTCACGTCTAATTTGTGCAATTGCAACAATTTTCATATAAAGAAATAAATCAGTATGCACGTAAGCTAAGTCCTTTCACAAGGTTGATAAAACTCTTTATCCCACATCTTCTGCTGGGGATCTTGGGACATACACGATGGTGTAACCTAACATTATTTCGTATTTCGCATGAAACTTGTGCATTAGTGAATAGTAATTACAGAAGACGATAATAATAGGGTAGTCCGAGACTGACATAAAGTGAAGTCTCCTCTTTTCTAAATTTGCAATTATATCGAAATCTCACGTGCTAATCCGAATACCTTTTGATATGAGTCAACACTGGTCAGGTATTCCTGAGCCCTTGCTTTGCAGCAAGGTTTGCTACCAGTCCGTAGCAAGCATGAGAAATTGATAACTGAAGTAAATTTCAATGATCTTGTCAAATAGTTATTTTTTCCACAGTAAATATTATTAAAAACTCAAATGATCTAAAATTTACGAAAAAGTATATTCTTCTTGTTGAAATTCCTTTTATTGTTAATGTTTTTGTTATTTTAATGAAGCAATGGTATTTTATTAATAGAAAAAATATAAAAATTAAAACAAAATATCTATTAAAACTCAAATGATTTAAATTAACTAACAAAAAAGTGCATTTTTTTAGCCAAAGCTTTTAATTCCAGGGAGAGCCTAGGTTATATATATATATATATATATGAAGGCCTGCTATCTAGCTAATATAAGTATCTACGAGTCGGTTTTCAGGTTTTTCAATATCTTTTCTCGTATCCATTAGGTATATGTATGTTTGGAGTATCTTTTCTAGTCTCCAAATCTTTCTTTGATCAGATCTCTGGTATCTTTGTTCAAGAACTTAACCAGACCAAGAACATGCTGCCATTCAAAAACCAGGCTTGCAAACAATCCTTGCCAATTCGTTTATTTCTTAAACAATTCTCTTCCATCCCATTGAATGTTGTTGGCGTTTAGAAATTTCATTCACACTGCATTAAAATATTGAGAATTGAAAAACAAACTATAATGGATCTCTGCTGTGTTATTTGCTTTTTTTAAACAAAGAGAAACATGTTATAAATCAAACGCAAGGCTGGACAAAAAGAAAGAAGTTGGGAAACTTATCCTTGGCTATTGGTATTAATTTGTCCTTGGCTATTGGACTAACATTCAAAAGCAAAAGGGAACTTTGTTGGTTTAACATGTAGACAGAACACCCTGCCTTGAATTGAGAATTGTTGACGCTCTTGTGTTCTCTTCTCAATCACAGGCTCCAACTACAGAAACTTTTCCCTTCAAATTCAAGACAAACAAAATCTGTCATAGTGACAAGACCGGGAGAAAGAAAGCTACTGAGCAATGATTAAGGAAGAAGAGGGAGAGACCGAGAGGGGGATTGAGGACAAAACGTTCATGGACCTATATGAGAGATTGCTGGTGTTGTTGACTTGCTGAGAAGAGAGTTACAGGAAGAGAGCGAAATGGAAGTAGAGAGTCAGCTGGAAAGAGGGAAGTAGAAGTGTAGAACACTAATTTTTATTTATATATAGCCTGGTACAATTGTAATTTTCTTTCAAACTTTAGGGTTATTGATGTAGTTTAGATCGAGCTCAGGTGAGGTTTCAGTTCGAGCAAAACAATATCCATACCCTACCCAAACCTAAACAAGCAAAAAATATCTCTACACATTTAGGTCAATTTGAATAGATATTTACCAGGTTAGGATAAGATTGTCATCCCTAATTATAAATACATTATCTAATATCAAAAAATTAATTTAGAAATAAAATGATAAAATAAGAATTAATGTTTTTAATAAAAGCAAAAGATAGATGCAAAAGTAAATGCTTAAACAATCATGCCTTGAACAAGGTAAATGTTAAAGTAGTCGCTGGTGAGAAAGGTTGGTACTTATATTAACAAATGTGTGTTTATACTAACAAAAAGCAAAGCGGAGAAATAGGTGCTCTTTTCATAAAATAATTAGTGGTCATGGTGGTGCGAGCATGGGTATTATTATTTTTTCAGGCATGACTTTTTTGTATTCCATGTTGGGTTCAATTGGGTTGCACTCGGGGCTAGTGAGGTCATTTTATCCGTTCTTTTCCCTTTCCTCCCTGTCTTCTTGGCTAGGCCTTCATTGGGCTTGGTTGGAATGAAATATCAGGCCAAAAACAGGGCTTCCTTGAGAGAAGTTGAAAAAAAAGTAAGAATTAGGAGTTAAATTGACGAGTTTTAAGAAAATAAACGGCTAAATAAATAAAGAGACAAAAAGTGTTTATCACATTAACACGCGTGCCATTATGTGAGGAGGCTCGCTTTACTCTGGTGGCGTATGAGGTGTCCTCCAAGATTTGATAAAGGCTATCTTTGATATTGTTGGATTTGTTTTGGCAAGAACTTTTTTTCTAGGCAACGCGTGTTAATGGGGTCGTTCCAGCTATCAAATCTTTTTTCTTTAATTTTCTCTCCTTGGTTTCCACACCTGATTTCTCCAAAATAAAAATGAGGCTTCCATGTTTTTGGATGTAAAATTTTGTCTTTATTCTTGTAATTATTATTTTTAACAATAATTATAGTTTGGTTTTGAAAAATTGATGTCTAATAAACTGCAAAATGTTTTCCAAAACTATGTTTATTGAGATAATGCAAAATAAAAGAAATATTAAAAAAAAAACAATCTGAAAATATCAAAACTTTAAAAGCTAAAGAAAAAAAGAAAAATAAATGAATAGTGATTTGTATGTGAGTGCAAGAGTAGGGGCTCAAAGATAACTTTTTTGGGCTAATTTATAATTGGCCACTTGATTTCTTTCTTCTTTTTTTTTTTGGCACCTTCAACCTCCATTTTTAACTTCTCCTTTAACAAATTCCAAGAGATTAACTACTAATATGGAGAACACACCTTTATCACTGTTAGGTTTTGAATAGGGCTGTGTTTTTGTTCAGCTCGTTTTTAGTTTGTTTTTTTTTTTTTTTCCTTTTTGCTACTGGGAGTTTGGTTTAATTCTAAATAAAAGAAGACTGTTAAATATTAATTAAAAAAAAGTCTTCAGAATTATACTGAGACAAATTTAAATTTTCTTCTTTATTGAATTTTAGATATAACACTCATTTCAATTATTACATGCATAAAATATTTTTCATACTTTTTCTCGAATTGAAAAACCTGAAATGATTATGAAAATTAAACTCAGCTAGTGTTTGTTTTATGCTATGCATGTGGGTGGTCTATTTATTTGAGATATGTTTGGGTTTTATTTTCACTTACTTGATCATTTTTTTTAATTATTTTTATAAGAAAAGAAGGATAAAATAAAACTCAGAATGCATAAACTATTTAAAGGGTAATTAAGTGTACAACCTAAAGTTTTTATAAACCAATTATGATATCAAAATAATAACATGTTTTGATTCTTAATTTGGTAGCTAAAAATAATTGAATTAAGTACTCAATAATTTGTATCATGTGGCATGTTAATTAAAAAAAATCAATTCAATTAATGCAACATTAAGTTTAGTTAATGTTCACATGTTGATTTTTAGATTTTCAAATTACTTAAAACACATGATAAAATCCAATTGAAAATTAAGATAATATATTTCTTAATTTAATTGGGTAATATATTTGACGTGTCAAATCAGCGAAAAAGAAAAGCTCAATAAGCAAAGAAAAATAAAACTATATAATAAAATTCATGGTTATGACTTTTTTGAAGTGAAAGATCAAGTTGTTTTAGCATTTGTTTTTGTATGTATTTTAATTAATTAATTAATTAATTATATGTTACATCTTGAAAAAGAAAAATACATCTATTGTCTATAATTCATTATTTCTGTCTAATTATTAATCTCATCAATTGTAAAAGAGAATATTATAATTGAATTATGTTTTTTATTTTATTTTTTGAGCTGGAATAACCCAAGAAAAGAAGTTATAATTATGGGATTTGACTTGATTTCCTAAATTGGAAAACTGATATGGGGCCGTATGTTTAAAAATAGGAACACTTGCGCTTTCGACGCCCCACAAAACCTTCCCCATGTTATAAAATCCCTTGAATCCCAACTCCGCGCGACAGCCTCCCTCTCCCACCACCTCCCCTGCCTCCACTCCAAAAAAACAATGGGCAGAAGGAAGCACCAGGAACGGGACACCGGCACCACCCAGAACAACATATTTTCTGCTTCTTCCGACATCTTCAAATTCCTTTTCAGCGGCGCCAATCAAACCGCTTCTACCTTCTCCCTTTTCTCCGATAGCAACCCTTTCACAAGAAAACCCGATGACCCAAAATCCAACGAAAACCCCAGCGCCAATGCCGATATTCAAGACCCTAATCTCAACGGTACTGCAATGAAACTAAAAAAGGTGAAAACCCAAAATCCAAATTTGGGTCTTCAGCCCAGAGAAGAGAAAACGTTAAATGAGAGTGGAAGGAAGAGAAAGAAGAGAAAAAGAGATGATCTTGAGAGAGAATATGAGGCTAAGAAGTACGGTCCAGTGGTAAATAATGAGGAAAATGTGGGTGTTGTTGTTGGCGCGAAGAGGAAAAGGGCTGATGATGCGGCGGATGTGCTGGTTTCAAAGGAGAGTGAAGGTTTTGACGATGAGAGGAAGTTATTAAGGACTGTGTTTGTTGGGAATTTGCCTTTGAAGGTGAAGAAGAAGGCACTCATTAAGGAATTTAGTAAGTTTGGGGAGGTTGAGTCTTTGAGGATTCGGTCTATGCCAATTACTGAAGTAGGTGTACTTTGAGTCTGATGATTATGGGGTTTTTTTTCTAGTTGATTGGTATTGTATTTTGATGGATTTCTGCTTGGGCAGTCCAAGATACCCAGGAAGGGAGCTATTTTGTTGAAGAAATTTAATGATAATGCTGATAGGTATGCTGTTGGTTCTCACAGGTGTGTGTTTGTGTTCCATATTCGGATAGTTAGTTTTGATGTCCTTTCTTATATCTTACTTCTGAAATTCTAGAATTGAACCCCGTACTGTTACCCTATTTGCTTATTTTTTATCTGATGAAAAAACCCTAGCAAGTGCTTGTTCCAGTTTACGTGGTTTATTTCAAATTCCTTCCACAATCCACGTTACCTGGCTTTTTCATGTCAGAATCTGGAAAAGAATTAATTAGATGTCCGAGCGCATGAATGATCACTGTGAGGGAAAAAAAAAAGATGCCTTGGCAACCAATTAAAGAGAAACAGGTGAAAAATGTTTACCCTGAGTTATCAGGGCTGGAATCAAATGATGATCCATTTCCAGTGTGTACTTTGTGATATAATTACCATTTCTCAACTTTGAGTTGCATCACTAACAAAAAGCTACATACTGAACGGGTTCTAAGTTTGCCTATAAGGAGCTTCTGTTTAATTAAACTTTGTATTGTGATTTTGGTTGCTCCTTTATATCTGCTTTTATTCATTTTGATTGCAATGTCAATTTTTGATGAAGAATACCGTGTGCTGCAGTGTTCATGCATATATTGTTTTCAACACTGAGCAATCTGCAGAGGCATCTCTCACCCATAATATGGCTGTGGTATGTTTATGTTATGTTGCATTTCTGACAGTTGGCTAATCAACATGATTTTGAGTAAAAAATTATGTTTTTTTTTTAATTATAGGTTGGAGGAAATCACATTCGTGTAGATAGGGCATGCCCACCTCGTAAGAAGTTAAAGGGGGCAGATGCTCCCCTTTATGATAACAAGAGGACAGTTTTTGTTGGTAACCTCCCCTTTGATGTGAAGGTAATCAACTGTCCTGTATTTCTCTATGTGCATTCTGCGTACACTGTGTGGATTTGTTGTTGCCTTATTTTGTTAATCTTATCTTGATATGTATCCTTCATCTGACTGTAGGACGAAGAAATTTATCAGCTTTTCACTGGTATTAAAGATCTTGCATCCAGCATTGAAGCTGTTCGGCTTGTTAGACATCCTCATATAGGTCTGGGAATGGGCACCGCCTATGTGCTGTTTAAAACAAGGGTATGATGCGTTAAAATTAATGCTCATTTTTTATCAATAATTTTATCACTGAAATTTATAGTAACGTGCTTCCCATTGTTTGTTCATGTCCCAACTCTATTTTATCTGATACGCTGTAACCATTGAAATTGATGTTCCGAAGAGCTGTCACTTGTACTCCAAATTTGGAAATTTAAGGTTCCTGTGACACTGTAGTCAATATCTTGGGTTGGGTTTCCATTTAGAATTTAAGTTATATATCATGTCGGATCATTAAATACTTTGATTACATACCATGTTATCAAGAAATAAACCAATTTAAAAAGAATAGAGCACATTTCACATAAGTGCAGAGGTGTGGTCTTCTTTTTTTGTATTTTCTTCTCAGATTTAAGGAGCGGGAAACTATGATTTGCTTAAGCAATGGCTGCAGTGAGTTTTTTGGAAGAGTTTTTAAGTCTAGTCCAGGCATGCATCGTTAGAGCTATAAACCAATACTTGTATGAATGCATAGCTTTGTTGGAGTTCGAAGCTTTGACCTAGAGTTCTTTATTTTTCTTGCTCTGGGAATATGTTTGTGGATGGCATGTTAGACTGAGCAAAGAGCATAGTTGGGCTTGTATTTTCATGCAG